ACACACACACACAGACACAGACACACAGACACAGACACACAGACACAGACACACACACAGACACAGACACAGACACAGACACAGACACAGACACAGACACAGAGACACACACACACACACAAGCACACACACACACAATATCAAAACAGCACACAGACGGAGACCGACATATCGACACAACAGTGTGGCTGTAACTGTGTAACCATGATTTAGTTTGCATGTTTAGAATAACAAGAACCAGCACACGCCCGCAGGATTTTGCGCAGCACACCTGATGTAGATGTAGGATGATATCGCACAGCACCATGCGGAGACTCGTGTAAGTTTGACCCTCCAAAATCCAAGACGTTGTGCCGTCTTCCATAAGGACGTCCGACGCGCCGAGCCAGGGGATTTGGCCCGATTCAAAGTGTTGGGTGCTTTGCCCACGTCGGGACACGTTCTCAGCGAGGATGTGCCTTCCGCATGAGTCCGTTACCCTTGACTTGTTTCAACTCCATGTCTTAACATAGTCTTTTCCGGGCGTTTGCGACTTTTGCAGGATTCACTCCGATGTACGGCCAAATTCAAAGCTCAGGCTCAATCAATCCTTAGGTTGCTCTAGGTCGCTTCGACTCGTCTCGACAGCCCGACGACTGCCAGATTCGCCTGGTCGAGACTTGCCGCGAGACGCCGGTGATGAGTCAGGGCTTTAAGCGTCTTGGCTGCAATTTTGAGTGCAGGTCTTTCGAAGCGGTGTCGTCGAAAGCCACGACAGGTGCATCTTGCATCTCCACCATTCCATGGAAGAGCTGTGCATGCCTCACAGTTGAGTCGCGGTGGCAGACACATGTCCCGGGAACTTGGGAAGGTGTGAGGTGTCGAAGGTCATTGAGGCACTTCGCAACCGTGTTCAGGTTAGTCCCCACGCAGTACATGCTGAAGCGTCGGTAGTAGCAGCAGGCAGAGGACCTTCGGACGAACAAGAAGGAGGAGTGCGGGGTGCAACACAAGCATGGCATCCGACCTGCCAGTGCCTGCCAGGCCGCCCCGAAAGTGGTTCGGGCGCCTGCGCTGGCTCTTTGCGTGCTGCAGATCTGCTCCGGCAGGGAAGTGCCCCTGCCGGCAGAGTGGATTATATGGAGCTTCATTGAAAAAACGTGAAAAGAGAGGTGCATCTGTTGTCCCATCTTTCGGGATTGCAACAGGTGCCGCTCGAAGCCGGCGATGGCTTGCTCGGACAGCTCTCCCTGCGCACAGATGGAGGCAGGGGGGAAAAGGATCCGTGTGGTATATCGGCCATAAGTCCCTAAGAGGTTGCTAGCTGCTAGCGGCTAGATCTCAGCATCCAAAGCCAATGCCAACTGGGCGGCAACGGGGCGGTTTGAGGCATGGAGGAACCGCGAGTAATCCATGCTTTGACTGTATTGCTTTACGTATTTCGTTGCAGAGTGCGCACTGAGTCCCCCAGGAAGGTCTTCTAGCACTACAGTTAGGTAGACACCCATAGACGCTCGTGAGAGTGGGGTGTGCTGGCACCGCCAAGGCACTATTGCCGTGGGCAGTGTTGCCGAGTTGCCAAAGCTGAGATGATCGGAGGGGAGAACAAAAAGGAGCAATGCAAGAGAAGAGCAAGGAAACAGAGAGGGAAAGTACTTATTAGTAGGCAGGTGCTTGAAAGCTTCAGCCTTCGACCCATTTCCGGTAGTTCCTGAGCTCCGCCGTACCGAAAGCCGACACCACGGCGCCCTCCAACATCCGGTGGCCTGTCTTGGGCTATTTAGTGCTTCATGGCCTAGCAGCCTAGCACCTGCGTCTTAAAGCTGACGTATGTGCTGTTATTAGATTCACTTCCGCCTTCATGATGCGATGGAAGCGACGTCCCCCGTACAAGATGCCGAGGCACGACTGTTTGAAGGTTCAGGTTGTGCGACTGGAGTTTCAGCACATCTGATTGCAGCAAACTCGATCAACCTCCGAGGGAGAGACACTCGAAGTGATTAAGCAGCAGCTGGAGGACCGGCTGGAACAGCGTGCAGCCTGGTATAGAATAGAAAACTGTCAAGATGCTGAGGATCTGCGATCACAGAATGAGGGCCGGTGTCTGTGTGCGAGGAAAGATACGGACGAAGCTTCGTCTGTAAGTCTCAGACCGAGGTCAGGCGGCGGCCCTTCGTGAGTTGCAAGAAGGCAATTCAGTGGGTCTGCTGCCACGTCACACGTCCGGTGCAATGCAGTTTACTGGAAGAGTTACTGGAAGTACAAGCTGCACCGAAGGTGTCGGGAAGTTTGTAAGGCTGGACGATCGCCCCAGTGTGATTGAAGGCGTGGACGGCAGAGCAGTGTAAGACTTCATTTTCTCGTGCATCTAAGCTTGGAGCTTTTTGCGCAGCGTCAATGGCCTGTTAGCATCAAACCTGAAGACCTCCAGCACCCTCCAGTTTTAGCTGTGCAGCATTGTGCATCACAGTGATTACTCAGCGGTCGTGCACCCACAACGTTGTGCAATGGTGTGAAAACCTGCTTGCGCGACTTGGGTGGCAAAGAAGCCATGGGAAATAAGTCCTCATCGTCCGCATCCTCCGCATCCGCGCCCAAGGCCGGAGCGCTAATTATGCCAACCGTGTTTGGCTTTTGGGGCAAGCGTCCGAGAGAGCTAAGAGGTGTGCAGATGGAGAAACCCCAGAGAAACAGCTCAGAAGAGTTCTGCTCCGACGTGTCTTCTGGAGGGATGCTCCGTTAGAGGCTGCAGAGAAACTTTAGGATTTCAAGGCAGATGTTTCAGCAGGTGGCGGACAAGTAAGTTGATTTGATGACCCAACGGTTCGGAGGAGAAGAGTTTGACAACAAATTCGGCCTTCGTGTTCATCAAGCCTCATGCTGCACCTTGGCTGACGTGGTGCCCTCTGCTAGATGAGGTGTGTTTTGTCGTGGCTCCTGCTTCTGTGCCTGGAGGTGACAAAAAAAGTCAAGGCCGGATTGCGCCTGCGTCTCGCGCGATGTGCAGCATGCGCAGACTGGCTGGCTAATGGCCACCCCGAGGCACTGGCCAAAGCTGGTCTTCAGAAACATGGTATCAGAGTCCTGCGTGAAGGCAGCCTAAGAGGAGAAGCTTGGACATTTTCGGACGAGAGAAACGGTTGCAGTTGCATGTCTTCATATATGGTGCCTCGCCCCCTTCATATCCACGGTTCGGCATCTTCTGTTTGACCTTCGCCTTGGTGCGTCTTGGATGTCATTGCACACCCCTGTCGCAGCGACATTGACTCTTGGGACCTTTCTCTTGGTTCGATAAGGACAAAATTGATCAGAAGAAGCTAATTGATCAGCACTACTTTGCCATCGCATCCAAAGCTACGAAACTTGGTATGCATGGCTGGAAGTCGGGTTAAGGGTTTGTCAGGAGATGGGGTGGCTGCTGGTATTCTGCAGAGCATAAACTAGTGATGAAGGATGCAGAAGCCCGATCAGCTCAATGTCCCCGTCGACAAATTCCAGGAACACTTTGGCGTGTCATGGGAAGAGGCGCTGAAGTCGGGCAAGGTGTTCAATGCAATGGATGGCTGCCAGCACCTGGGAATCGACGCGCAACAATTAAATGTCGCTTGGTCGAAGGCAAAGGCTGCAAAGAAGCTGATCAAGTTTGGTGGCGGCTTCTACTGCGGGCTCGTCGAGGTTGAGGGCAAAGAGCCAGTTTACATCTTCAACGGCTTTTTCATGGCAATGCGATCGAAATTTACGGCACCGAGTGCAGAGGTCTACTATTATCTGGTCGAGTGGGACGCGAATGCCCTGTCCTGGGCCGACTTCCGTGGCAAGGTACTAGGCCCTACGGACCCAGCAGAGGCACCAGCAGAGTCTCTGCGGGGCCAGATACTGTCGAAGTGGGAGGAGCTGGGTCTAAAAGAGAAGCCCAACGTGGGCGACAACGGCATGCACGCCTCAGCTTCTCCTTTCGAGGGGTTCGCCGAGCGAAACAACTGGCTTGAGATTCCCATCAAAGATGATCCATTCGGCGCACGTTTGCTGCAGCGGGGCTTTTCGGAATCTCTGATCCAAGCTTGGTCGGTGGATCCGCAAGTCCAAATTGCGCCCGGGAAGCAGGGCTCAGTATTCGATCAGCTTGAAGATCTGGACACAGCAGCCTGTTTGGAGAAGTTGCTGGAGCTGAAGGACCGAAACTTGATGAACGCGGCGTTCGTTTTCATCAAGCCACATGCAATGACCGAGAAAGTTAAGGAGCTGGCTAAGACTGGACTGCAGAAGCACGGCATCAAGATTCTGAAGGAAGGATCTCTTAAAGCTGAAACCATCGACCAGAAGAAGCTCATCGACCAGCACTACTATGCCATCGCATCGAAGGCCACGATTCTGAAGCCCGATCAGCTCAATGTACCCGCCGACAAGTTCCAGGAACAGTTTGGCGTGTCATGGGAAGAGGCGTTGAAGTCGGGCAAGGTGTTCAATGCAATGGATGGCTGCCAGCACCTGGGAATCGATGCAGGCGAGATGGATGCTGCTTGGTCGCAGGCAAAGGCTGCAAAGAAGCTGATCAAGTTTGGTGGCGGCTTCTACTGCGGGCTCGTCGAGGTTGAGGGCAAAGAGCCTGTTTACATCTTCAACGGCTTTTTCATGGCAATGCGATCGAAATTTACGGCACCGAGTGCAGAGGTCTACTATTATCTGGTCGAGTGGGACGCGAATGCCCTGTCCTGGGCCGACTTCCGTGGCAAGGTACTAGGCCCTACGGACCCAGCAGAGGCACCAGCAGAGTCTCTGCGGGGCCAGATACTGTCGAAGTGGGAGGAGCTGGGTCTAAAAGAGAAGCCCAACGTGGGCGACAACGGCATGCACGCCTCAGCTTCTCCTTTCGAGGGGTTCGCCGAGCGACACAACTGGCTGAGTCAGTCGGTGCAAGATGACACCTTTGGTGCCAGATGCTCGGAGAGAAAGCGCTCGTGCGCTCGCTTTCGCTTCCCCGGCGAGTTGACGGACCGAGGCCGAGATGCTGAAGCTCATGGCTGAAGTCCAGATCCAGGACTGGTCTGTGGATCCGCAGATCCAGATTGTCCGGGCCTGAGCAGCGCATGTTCTCAAGCGCCTGGCTGGCTTTTGCCCGTATAGCCGCAGATATGTCGGCTTCAGGGCGATGGAAAGCAGGGCTCCGTCTTCGATCAGCTCGAGGACCTGAACGCAATTTGGCTTTCTGATCAAGTTTTGCAAGCGTAGCCTGCAGTAGGAACAGAACTGACACTCAGGTAATGGATTGTCTCGCCAAGGCAAAGTTTCCTTGCGTGCCGTAAGCCGGGTTGGAAAGGGATTGCGCGATTGCCGTCTTCCCGTAGCACTTCCCAGGTGGCAGAGCTCGCAGCATTGAACCCCCAGCACCAGCCCTACTTGCGCAGGGAACGGGGCGCATGTACCAGTGAGTTTGCCCTCCGAGAGCTGTGCTGGAAATGGCTGCGAGGCCCTGATCCGGTGATTACACCAGGAGTGACAATGAGCTTCCGCTGTTGCTATGTCTGCGAAGAGCAGTTGCTTTCGAAGGATCTTTGTGCTGGTGCCACAGCAGCCCAGCGCAACAACTTTCAATAGGGAAGTTGACAAAATTCAGAGTGCAACGTTTAGAGAGTCAGAAGAAATGTGCCCAACAGCCCAGCACCAACAGGGAGGAGGGCGGGCCTCAGGCGACTGACTGTTTTGCGGGCATTACAGAGCCCTGTATTCGTCTTGCGACTCGAAGGCAGTCCAGAGCTGTACAGCAGAAGGAATCAAAGCTCGGTTTGCGGTGTTGTTGGACGCCGATGCCTGCCGCAATAGCCGATACTGCCGATAACTTGTGAGGGGCCTTGCTTTCGCTTTCCCGGACGGTAGGTCCACGGAGCGATGGCGGCTTGGTGGAAAGCTTGCACGCCGCCAGCGAGGCGGTGCAGACTTGGACGCAATCCTGGGAGAGTTCTATGGACTCCAAGGCGGCATCTAAGCCGCTAAGGGCTGAGGGCTATCCATGGGCTATCGCCTTGTGCTGAAAATGAGCAGGACCAAGCATTTGCGCGACTGGCCTTCATTTTTCTTGTCTTCAGCTTAGAGTCGGCGACGTTTCGCTTGGCTGGCTTGGCGATACTTGGGTGGGGACGGGGTGCCCTGCCTGAGGTTGTAAATGTTGCTGGTGGCTTGGTTCTCACGGCCTTCTACTACAATTTCACTGCCTTCGAGGTCTTGGTTGATATAGCTTGAAGTCTTCTGAGTCCCAGGTTCGGTTCTGTGCTTCATCGGCCAAAAATGCAAGATGCTGCAGGTCTACATCATGTCACTTTTCTGGGCCGTGCGAACCTCTAGCTGCTTTCTTCTGTGAACCCTTCCGGCTGCAAGCTTCCATCAATGGCCGAGGGTATCATCTCCATACCGCTGTACCAAGTGAAGATCAGCATCATCGACTTGATCTTCTCTCTTACGTCCTGATCCTGGTCGCCGCAGCTCGCATCAGGCACCGAGGCGTTTGTGATGCAGATCGTCGCAGTTGGAGCCCACGGGTCCACGAAGTGATCGGCTAAAGCGGACAATATTATCACACCCAGTGGTCACGTTTGGCACTTCCGAGGTTGCGAGAAACGTATCGCCTGACGCGAGTGTTGGAGACAAACCCTCCGCAGGTAAGCGCCACGAAGATGTTTTTAGGTCAGTCTCGTCACAAATGTGGTTCTATGCTGGCTCCTCAGGACAGAATTCTGGTTATGGTGTCCAAGCTGCCAAGGCAAGAGCGATGAGGAGTGGTTCCAGACCTTTTGAGTTCTCTCTAGTTTGGACTAGGTTCCATTGGCTCCATGTGGACGAGCCCGAGAGCTGCCGCCCTGGCTCGCAGATGCTCGCACCGCCCGCAAGACTGCGGAGTTGCGCCATCCGCTGACTGACTGCTTTGGTTTTGGAAATGTGTCTCTGAGGCACAGAGCGGCAGCAGGCGCGGCCCTGCGCTTGATGCGGGCGCATGCGTGGCACAAAGCATTGCTAAGCCGTGCCGCAGGAGTTCAAGGCCTTTCTGGACGAGGCGCACAGCTCTCCGCTCTTCGTCACCTCTGGGGCTTTTTTGTGGTGGCAGGAGCTGATGTCTTCCAGTGCACTGCGGCGGGGTGCCCAGAACATCCCACCGGGCTGGCGGGATCTTTGTTATGATCCCTGCCGGTGCCAGGAGAAACATCGAGGAGAAGGGCAAGGACCCTGCAGATGGGGTTGGAATATTGGAGGGGTGCTTTGCAGGTTGGGGATTACGCGATTTTAGCATCTTCTTGCCACTCGCTTCGCTTGGCACTGGCTCAAAGCTTCCGGAACATCATATTTGCCCATGAAGTCTTCCCCGTAGCACCTCTAACAGACTCTAACAAGCTTGCAGGCTCACTGTGTACACTGGACCCTCCCTGTTGAACCCTCGGCCCAGTGGAGCCATCCTGCTGGCTCTTTCGGGCAACGGTTTGCAGCTTGATAACATTGGCTTCTTTCGGGCGTGGTGTCCCAGCTTTACGGTACTCCAGTCGCGAAGCCGTGAAAGTGTGAGGCAAGATGAACACGGTTCTGAGTGGCCTCTTTTTCCTGGCCGCGCTGCTGGTTCCGTTGTCCGTCATCGCTGCTCGCTTGTTTCCATCCACGTCACAGCAGTGCGCCTCCTCGAGCTGTCCCCACCACGCCCGGCACTGCTGCCCTGTGCGCTTTTACGCTCACGACCTGAGCGCCGTCGCTTTCACAGCCGCTGTGAGCCTCTGCTTGTGGCAGGTCATCGTTGGGCTCCTCAGCCACCATCCTGGAGGAGGCGCGAGCGTGACAAAGTCCGGCGGCCGGTGTTTCGCCGCCGTACTCGGTTCAGGTCTCACTCTCGACAAAGCCTTCGCGTGGCATCCCATCCTGATGTGGCTTTGATAGCACCGAAACTAAGGTTGTTGGAAAGTCGGCCTTAGTGATGCAAGGGTGTCGGTCAAAGAGAAGACCACTGCCACACCAGGGCCATAACCCTCTCAGACCACTCCGCGAAAAAATGGCCCTGGGACCTAGCGCGGGGATTTGTGAAACCACACAGACAAGCCTGAGGGCCCTTGTGGCCCTGCAATAACATTGGACATTTCCGGAGCTTGAAAAATGAGCCAATGGTGCCAATGTGTGGCGGTAGCCTTTAGACACTGTCGGCTGATCCTTTTGACGAGCCCGACAACCCACCATAGGTTGTGCACTCGAGGTCGATTGCCTTCCCATGCCTGATGGTGCTCGGGCGATGGGTCTACGTCACAGACATCATCGAAGAGAAGGGACTCAGGCTCGGCTGAGAAGCCCAAGGGCCCCAGACAGTCGTGAGTGTGGCCAGGCGCGCTTTGCATGGAAGCATCATGGCAGTCGCCGCGCTCGTGGCGCTGGGAGGCCAGTCGGGGGAGGCAGAGTCTTGCTTGGAGTTCGTCTTTTGTCTCCTTCCTTTCTGAGGCTATGTGGCCATGTTCAAAGCCCATTGGCCAATCAAGCAGTACTTCGGTCCCTTGTCACAGCAGCCCAGCAGTTCCCAGCCTTGTGCAACGCGGCCGGCAGGGCGGTCTTGGGATCTTAAGCAAGAAGCTGAGACTTGATCCAGTCGGTTGTTGCGGGGTTCTGGGCGGGCACGGCGGCGTTGCTGCTGCTGCTGCTGCTGCTGCTGCTGCTGTGCCAGTATCGTCAGTGAAGATACGTCTGCAAATAAATGGCGGCATGCCTTGTGCTGTCTCTCTTGGGTGCGCACTGCAGTGACTGCTATGTAGCCACTGGAGGATGTGCTGCAGAGGACGTGCCACAGAGTTTAGATGTTTGGTCGTTGGGGTCAGTAGACCGTACCACGAAGAGATACACAAAGATCTTACTACATCAGTATCACCAATGTCCAAATTGTGCACAGTACAAGGAGAAGCTGGAAACTGGTGTGTATGTATCTCCGTGTGGGAAACAAAAATTATATATATATACACATCCATCCATCCATCCATCCATCCATCCATCCATCCATGCATGCATGCATGCATGCATGCATGCATGCATGCATGCATGCATACATACATATATTTATATACATATACATACACACACACGGATATCTTATGTATCTTTTATGTATGTGTTTCATTTGAACTGATCTGAAAATATGTGTGTGTGTGTGTGCGTGCGAGTCAGAGGTTACAACTTCACCACTCAGAAGTGGGCCGTTCCTGCCCGTGTCATCCATGACCTTATCGGCTACAGCACCCTCCTGCTGGTGCTGTTCCAAGCGGCCATTGGTACGGTGAAGATCGCCTCTCGACTTCAATGCCTGCTCTTCGGTTCCACGTCGACAGTTAGTCTGGCCTGTGAAGGTCAAGCTGCAGAACAAGATCAAGTCCTTTACGTTTCACGGCACTTTGGGTAAGGCCGAGAGTGCGATCCTTGTCCTGCCTGTTGAAGAGTGTCTTTAAGCGGCCAGGTCATCATGGGCTTGTCTGCAGTGAACATCTTGGTGGCCTGCACCTTCTGGAAATGGACTACAGGCTCGGATGCTGGTCTTGCTCACCATCAGGTCGGTGATGGTCGGTGTAAATCTGCATTAAAATCTCTAACAACGTACGGAGTCTCTGACAAACAGGCCTTGGAGTCCCGGTTTCCCTCAGTTGTCGCTGACTGCTAGGCTACAAGATCCTTGCGGGGTGCTTAGTCATGGCATGCAAGTCTGGAGCGCGAGAGAGACAGGGATCGGCTTTCCGAGTACCTTAAGTTGATGTAAGTTGTTTATCCCTGCGCATCGCAACGGCACGTCCGCCGCATGCTCTTTCCTTTTCGGCGGTCGTCCGCTTCTAGCTTATCGAGCTCCAGCTCGTCCGGCCGCCCTTTCAGGCTCTGGACCCCTTTGATTCGTCGCCTGGCATATCAAACTCCGCCTGTCTCCCTGCTGCGGGTCCTGGGTCCTGTTGAGATCTGCTCTGATCATCCGCGTCAGCCTCGGCGCTGTCCCTCCGTGGACCTGACGGCACACCACATGCACCGATGCGTGGCCGTGGCCGGAGCACTTTTGCTTCGGGACCTGTCTCACCCATCTCCGTATGCGGTGCGCGGCTGTCCCGCCGATCGTCCGCATTGCCTCCGTCCGATGATGGCTTATTGACCTGTGTCGGGTGTACGGTCGTTGCCGACGGTCCCAGCCATCGCAAAGACCCGGCCTCCTATCCAAAAAGTTGAAGTTGAGATTGTTGAAATCTCAGCCCCGCTCTGTGCATCTATGTGTCAAGCTTCCCTTTCCCCGGCTTCAGCATACAAACCTTGTCATTATCCGGCGATGAGTGTTAATGGTTTAGCTGAGTGCCTTCCGGATGCGGGTATCCGGTGCTTCTTGTCTCAGATTTCTGGATGGAGTGTTTCTGGTTCCGGCGTCCAGCCTGTATTTCTCGCTTCCGGTGCCTGTCTTGTTTGTACCTGTCCGGTTACCGGTTTCCGACATGCCGTAGCTCGCACCAGAATCACGGCCGCCTTCGAGGTTTAAACCGGAGCTTATGCTTTTGGCAGCCATCCGAAAATTCATTCATTGAGAACCCGACAGAAGAACGTCACGGACTAGCGGCTAGCGTAAGTTGTTCATCCGCGTGCAGCGCCCCGGCAAGTCCAGTGCATAAATTTGTCTCAGGCCGTTCTCATGTGGGCGCGCATTCACAGGCTTTCCTTCCCGCTGCTTCCCCCTGTCTCGTCCTACCCAGTAGTGAACTTGCTTGGACTTCTCATTCTCGCGTTATCTTGGCAAAGGTAAAGCAGTGTGCATTCATTGCCGGCCCTCGGAACGCCAACACTTGCGAAGATCCGTTGGGCTTTCGCTTGTCAGGCGCGTCTTGGACCGAAACGGCGGAAGCGTTGCGAATTGCACAACCGCACCATGTCGTGTGGGAAAAAAAGAAAGAGAGGTGCAAATATGCTTGAGGAAGTAGAGTTAGTATCAATTTAGAAGGACGTTTGAGCAGATAAGGTCGTCGTCCTTACCATCGCCGCAACTGCTCTCGGGGTGCTGACCCCTTCGGCTCCATCAAAGGACGAGCATGTCCGAGACACCACGTGACCCGGCACTCCTTAAGCGAGTTCATGCGAATTCCAGTGTTATTGAAGTGCTTCCATGCGGCTGCGACGCGGGCGCGGAATCATGAGACTGAAGCTGTTTTGCCCCCTCCAACATTAAAGGTTGTGGGTTGTGGTGGGGCAAACAATCAGCGAAACATACGGCAACTCACCATTCGCCTTGATCGAAAGCCTGTGACTGTGCCAACAAGCAATACGAAGATAGTAAGAACCAATGAAAAGTTTGAAAAGTTGATGGACTTTGCGCAATGGTGTATATCGTGTATCGAATGAGGCACGGCTGCAACCCACATCCGGACAACATGTAGTTTTGAGGATGAAAACTACTGACGGCATTGTTGTTCTTTTGCTGTGTTGTGGCGAGGAACAGACTAGAAACGTACAACCCCCATCTTTTCAACAGGCTCCATGGCGGAGTTGCGAATTCACCGAGCACGACTTGTACACTGCTCAGTTGGTTGCCCAAAACCATGTCACTGACCGAGAACACCCTGTTCGACGACATATCGATCCACGCATGAAGATTGCAATGAAGGTATCTTTGGGTACGTGTTCAATTACACACAACGTGTTCCACCCGTGCTCCCTTTCACAAGAGTGTTTTGATTTAACGACACACCTGCTATGGGTCGGGCGTTGTTCGTTACCAGCTGCCTTTTGGAACCCAAGCGGAGAAAGAACTGTGGAAGTTAGGGTCACCATCGCTATCATGGAATCTAGGTTATCAGTGGGTTTGGATGTCAACTGTGGTGAAATATGCGGCCGAAGTTCGGCAAGCTCTTTGTTTCAAGTCCTTTCCATCCATGCCTGTAATGCCCCTACGACCTGAAACATGAGCTCTGTTGACCCCACAGTGCCAGCTTGTTGCGGGATCTTCAAAACCCAGCCCTGAAATTGGCACAAGCACCAGTTACTTACAGCAGCCGCAAAAGACATGTCGTGCAAGCCCTAACGTCTTATTGTTGGGTTAGAATGATTACAAGTCCTGCACACTGACCTCATCCAAGCGTTGCAGTTCTCGGCAGTCGATGGTGGTAAGAGGGACCAGGCCTGGCCTTGGGTCAGACATGACTCAAGTCGTCTCAGCGCAACCATACTCATCGATTCCCAATGTTTGAAGAATTGGTCATGTAAGGTAATCGAAATTATGGGGCATTTACAATGCAGATTTGCGATGGTCACAAAAAAGATATTTGTGTGGTGACAGGCAGTGACGGTATTCATGCATTTGCACGTTGTCAGAAGAACTAACTGACCACCACTTTTACCATCTACTCCAAACACGAACTCTCATTTATATGGTTCCGTATGCGGGTCGTGCAGCCTCGGGAAGAGTCTTGGATTCAAGAGTACTGCTTCCGACGCATAGAATTTAGTTTCATGTCGTGGCAGGCGGCAGAACATGATGAGGACCATCATTGAAAATCCAGGTGTCAACTCTACCCCAGGGCCGTGAGCGCACGACATTGGACCTGTTCACATTGAAAGGTGTTGTGCACGTGTTGCGGCGGGTCCAAGACCGAAGGTTCAGAGGTCGTGCAGAACATTTCTTCAGATCCATATGTTCAGGGTTGGAGGGGGTGAGCGGCGGGCTCGGGTCCAGGGGTGGGGGATGCTGTGCGCTCCTTGGGTGGTTCGGTGTGGTGGTGTCAAATGTTGTGATATCTCCAAATATTCAAAGAGCGGATGTTAGACCCAAATCCTCCATACAGGTACAGTGCCAGTGCCGCTTGCGAGCCAACTCGTTTTGGGTGTATATTTCTTGAGACTTCCCCAGGAGTCTCGCGGAGAGTCTTGAATCTGGGATCTGTTGCATTGAAACTGGCCCTGCGTGTTGCAAAGCTTGAGTCTTGCCGTGCTTGTGTCATCAACAACGCACCCACACACACACACATTCCAGCTATGATTTTCCTGTGCTTCTGCGTCATAAAGGCACGAAAATTGAAAATCTTGATGTCGGAGGCGGTGCTTTCGAAAGTCAGACAAACATGTGTGAGTATGTGTGCGCTGGTCGGGCAGCTGTTGTTGTATGGCTGCGCCACTCGAGGATTTGATGCCTCGTCATCACGATCCCCCATGCCAGTGGCTCGGGCACAACTGCCCTGTAAGATGTGGTGAGCATACTGGAAGGTGCCGTTGGGCTGTCCTTGAAAAAACTATCTGTCGAGAGCATTTCCGCCGACAGTTTCGCGAATCGCGAATTGGCGGCGCACAGGCACAGCTTGTTTTCCGTCGGCCATACGCTGGCGACAGAGTCAGGGAATGAGCGAGCACAGTTCGCGCTCAGAAATCCGAAGCCCGCATCAGCTGCGTGAAAGGGTTTCTGTGATGTTGCATCACTGTCACGGCGCATCTTCGAACTCGGGTTCGCCTGTGGAATTGAAGCAGAGACAGTACGGGTTGTTGCTCGCATCCCGTGGTTCAGGAGTACCACGTCAGTCTGAGGCCTGCTACGACACTTGCCAAGACAACGCTGTGCTTTGCTGTGTCTCATGGTTGTCATGGCCATGATGATGACGACGACGGTTATGATTAAGATCACTGTGAGGATCATCATCATCATCATCATCATCACCATCATCATCATCATCTTCAGCATTGGCATCAGCATCGAGCCTGTGGAGAACTTGCACAGGTCTTCTGCGTCTGCTCGTGGCACGCACAAGCTTTTCACCTCAGCATTCCAAGTCTTCATCTGCAAGTTGTGGAGCGGTGTTGCCACACATGTGCGATCATGTGTGACTGCATCGAGGCGGAGGGACCAGATCGAGGAAATCTGGGAGAGACGCCACGTGCGCCAGCACGTTGTTTGAAGTATCCGATTTGGCAATAGAGAGCTGTGTGCTTGGAAATAGATATGCTGCGTGCTCGTGCCTGCCAGTGGCTGGGTACACTCCGGCCATACAGCGACGCCTGGGACATCTTCCGAGATCTTCCAATGTTCCCAGTCAAGCACATCTGTCTTCTGCCTGGATCACGCTGCGGAGATGCGCTCGAGGCTGTGGGCCTCTCTGCGCTTCTTGCTTGGTTTCTTGACAAGGCCGGCAGTTTGTCACGAGCAGCCCAAGTGGCTCAGGGCTGTGTGGCTTTCTGCCTCGGCAGAGCGGTGTTTCGGGAGGCCTCTGTCGCAGTTCAGCACGGAGGCTGGGCGAAGCGTCTCGTGGACTCTCGGGATCTCTCGGACCTGAGGCCGATTCAGCTCCGTACTTTGGGCTCCTTGGCTGCACACTGCAACGTCACTACCGAAATGCTACGTCAGGACTTCCGTCAGAACTGTCGCCGTGACTCTGACACCGCAGGCTGCTGCTGCGGCTCTGTGCCACGCAGAGCCGGACTCGGAACGGGTTAGTGATGAGACTCTTTGTCCCTTGTTAGTTGAACTGGTGCAATGCTCAGGCTGTGTCCGCCACGGCATGGTGAGCTGTTACTTGGCTTCGGAGCCGCGATGAAACACGCCAGGTTTCCAGACCCTGAGTCGAGACGACCTCGCTGCACTTCTGACGCATGCCGCAACCTGGCTGCTTATGTACCACAGCACAGACAGCGCACAGCAGACGGGGGAATCAGCGCATGTCGTACGTGGCCTTCTGCTGCTCGGCCCAAGCTTTGACTTCCCCCCCCCTTCCCCCACAGCTTGGATGGAGGCCATGGGAGTCCAGGGCCACGGCTAGACAGCGGCTAGACGAAGCTTTGCTTTTTGCAGGCCATGCGGTTCGCGGCGGTCGCAAGACGCGCCTCTCAGGCTCGGCTCGCGGATGGGAGGATGGGGAGAAAAGTGGCGAACTCCGCTCTCCGCTCAGTCACTGCAGGCTGCGCTCAGATGCCAGCGACTACCGCCCCGGCTCAGGTCCACGTGAAGCGGTTCGCATGAGTTACGTATCTGCCATCTCACACTGCTTGCAGGAATGTACAGTTTTGCCAGGAGGCCAGCATGCATACCTCTACCCAAGTGCTGGTGCTGGTCGTGATCCTGTTTCTTGCGAGGCGTTTTACATCTCCACCAGGACTTTCTCTGAGTCAGGCCTCCGCGGTGCCGCAAACAGAACCCTTCAGGTCGTTTTGCGGCATGGAGTGCTGGCTGCAAGCCAAGTGGAGAGTGATGCCCTGTGCGTGCAGGCCAATCCAGCAGCAGCCGGAGCCAGTCAGAGCAGTCGGCCTTGTGCTCAGCAATACCTCTAGCAAGCAGCTTCCTCGTCATTCCCATTGATTCCCATTTCCAGGAGTCGGACCGGCGCTATGAAGAGACTGGTGAGTACGACACGCAGGAGCACGGACTTGCATGATGCGTGGCCTGGAGCGAAAGCTTGGAAGGATAAATACAAAAGGGTTGGCAACCCAATCTCGTGGGCGAATCCGCGGAAGCCTCAAATGGCATAACGTGAGACAGGGCAAGACATGTCTTCAACTAACTCAGGACCGGAGGAGGTACAGTGGAGGACAACTCCTCCAAGCACTGGACGTGGGCCCGCCAGCAATGCATAAGTATCAGCATCCGTCTCATGCCGTTCCTCCTTGAGGGTCGGGGGTTTAGCGTGCTGAAGGGCTGTACCTGTTTCCTGTGATGATTCGTGTCGAGGATTGTCGAGGCATCTCGAGACCAACTTTCTTGCCTGGACACCGAGTGTAGCATGTTTGCCCGTGTTTTTGGTTAAGGTGGGTCTACCCAGCAAGGAGCTCGGATCGAACAAAGGCCGTGGCCCCGTCCGGTTAGTTGTTGGCAAGGCAGGGGCCTTCGCCATCCTCGCCTTCTGCGTGATCAGCCGCTGGCGTAGCTTGCGCAAGGAGAAGGAGGCAAGGAGACTCTTGGCAAAGCGGAAGAGTGAGTACTTTCTGCTTCTCGAGGAGCAGGTCATCGCCTCGCCCCGGATCAACATGGAGACCGGCAACTTTGCCGGCACCTCATGCTGGCGGTCGAAGAGGGAAGCGAGCATCCCAAGTCCCTCCATGGCTGAGGGTTACAAGCCGCCTTCGCAAGAGCCGCTGTCCGTGGAGGCTTGGTTTAAAGGGCCTCAAACTCAGGGCCTCCAGAGTTTCTACGCTTCGGAGGACCTGGCGCCGTCGGAGGGCTCCGGCCAAGACTCCGGCTTCGGCCAAGGCCGCTGTCTCGGTCGCCTCACGATGCCTCGGCTCGCGCGGCTGCGAAGGTTGGAGTTCCAGCTTCACCCCGCCGCCACGAAGCGACTGAGAGTCTGGAGTGGCTTGCTGGGCGTGACATACATTGAGGAGATACAAGGAGAAGAAGCATCAAGCATTGTAATAATCCCTTTGGCAGATTTTGAATAGATTGATTTCGCTCCAGGGTCTATTCTAACATAGATCGGCTTCCCCGTCGCCGGCAGCGAAGGCCGAAAGAAAGATAGGAGCCGTAGATAGCCGTAGGACTGTAGGACCTATGGGTGCAGGCTGTCTCTTGTGGGGTTGCAGCGCAAATGCGGGAACTGCCCACCGAGAGAAGCGGCACCTCGCCGATGGGACGTGGTGGCACGACGCGTTCCCAGCATGGCCACTCCAAGCAGCTACTCGTACAAGCGAACAGCCAAACACAACAAGCTCCGAAGCCTCTGCGAAGCACAGAGAAACAACTCGGAGTCCGGGAGGGTCGCATCGCGTGGCGGCGTCGCGTGTCACGTCCCAGCGATGAGCTCATCGGCAAAGAGCGCATTTGCCGATGCTCGTTTCACCTATCAAGAAAAACGACTGTAGCTGACAGATGATGATATGGTAATCTGTGGTATGTGAATCTGAAGCATTTGGCTGTCTTGCTGACAAGCTGTCCATCTTGAATCTTGAATAAACATTGGTGGATAATCGTGCTGTACGCGTGCTGTCAACTTTCTACTGTAACTATCTGTAACTGTTATGAAGCAGTGGCATTTTCAATCGCAGTGCACAGCCTCGGCGAACGGTCCTGCATTGTCCTGCCGGATGATCTAGCTGCCGTGAAAAAAATGTAAAGGGGAGAGGGAGAAGCGCAGAGGAAATCAAAGCCCAGGCCCGTGCTGTACCCATGGTGTAAATGCCGGCAGCCTTACCTGACGTCAACAGTCACCACAGCTCAGGGTGCAGTAGTAACGTGGCACCAAAGATGCATTACTGCCACGCATCCGTCGCTGCCATCACTACAGTGGTCTTGCCGAGGACAGCACTGCCTCAGAGCAACAGAAACACCGCTCGTGGTACGTAAGCTCTACCAGCAAGGAGGAGTTTCAGTCTAAGTGTGCACTTGGGGGCAGACAGGCCTTGCGGCCTTGCGTCTGTTCGGATCACTTGGACGTTTGGCTTCGGATGTGGAATTTCTCGGTGAAGGACAACTGGAGAGAGCCTGCTCTACAGAGTTCCAAGGTCAGAGCCTACGGCATCGTCGTTCTGTTGCGCTCTCGCCTCGGAGTAATTAAGAAGTTATGCAGAACACAACTTGCAAACTTCACGCGATGTCCCGAGGCTTGGTGATCACCGGCATCGGATACTTGCCCGCTCTCCTGCAACTCGCCAAGGCTCCCTGACACTCTCCGTAACGGAAGAAGCTGCTCTTTTTTTGGAGCCGAGCGGCAGCAAGCGGCATCGGGAGGTTCCCGAGCCGCAACGGAAGGACTGGCGCGAGAGGTGCCGGCGTTCTCATTTGGGATTCTTGTTCCCAGAAGCACGAAACGCGTGGGCGGCCACAGGTGCGAGGCGTGCTGCGCATGGCTGCGCAGGCGTGTACAAGAGTGATGTATTTAAAGGTGATTTGAAGAGTGCCGTGCTCGCAGGTGCGGAAGGGCCCTCGCTGTGCGGTTGGACGAGGCATCGCCTGATTCGGATCCGCTCCGCCGAGAGCTTCGCTCAGTGGATTCCATTGCGCGCGCGCGCAGCCCCTGGCGAAGTGCATGGCCTCCTTTCGGGAGAACTGCCACTTCCTTTTGCAAGACCCTCAGTTACTAAGGAGGCTTGATCATGCTTGATCAAGGTTCAGGCTGCTCGGTACCCCTTCTTGTGATTCCGATGGGCGTGCCGCATGGTGCGGTTGGTCAGCTGCGATGAACATGGGAGTCGCAAATGAAGTTTTTGCCTCCAGTTTCCACGCACCCGGCGATGTCTCCCGCTTTAGGTGTGCTAAAAGTGACAGTCGTCGGTTGGAGGCCTTCAGCATCCATTTCCGCAGCCGCTTGTGTCTTTTTTCAGCTGGGCTGAGTTGTCATTCGCGGCTTCATATTTTGATTTGGCCACTGTGATTTCTATGGATGTGATTTGGAGTGGCGGTGTCGCCACAATGCCGTACAATCTTCGTGCATCGACATGCTCGATTTGCATCGGCCCATAGCATGGGCGACGACGAACATGATAGCAGAAGCACTTACCCCGGCACGTGTGGACCACTTTCAGCTGGCATCAGCATCGTGTGGTTAATTCGACGAAGAAAGCGGCATTCATGCGGCATATGTATATATATGTATATATATATGTATATATATATGTATATATATATATAATAGAGTCGTGGGAACCCAGATTGGCGAAGGTGTGACGTGCCGTGTGCATCAAACCCGGTTGCATGGAGAGCCTTGCGCTCTCCAAATTTGACATCGAAAGCGCAGGACGACCGCCGGGCTTTGCGGGAGGAAGCGCGAACATCATGCAACTGTAGGATTTGTAGGCATCGCAGTCGAGAAGAGTGGAGCTGCTCAAAAGTCGCCAAGAGCAAGGCTCTCGGTGCATTCAGCACGGGCGTAAGTGTGGGTCTGTGTGAATGCGCGCATGTGTGCCTTGAGGGTGGACGTGTAGCACTTGCTTGGGGTGATTCGTATGTCGCTGCATGCGACTGTGCAGTTTTTTGAAGACATGCTTGCTGCCGCTCACGAAGAAATGTCTTCGTTCGTGGAAGTGTTTGTGTTTTGCAAAGAAGCCCTGCAATCAATGAACATGGTGTCAAATTTGCAAATATGTCTACAGAAGCAAGGTCTATGCTGATCATCATTGCAGCGCTCGTGTTCCTCTGCTGCAAACAAGAACTGCGGGAACGTGCATGGTGCATGTATCCGTGCTCCGGATTGAGAGCTCTCATTAGATTCGTTAGCCAACTCGATAGTCTCGATGCAGGATAGTGGGGTCGCTGTAAGCGCTTGGAAATGACAGTGGAAACATCACCCTGAGTTGAGCTGCGTGGGGCGGAGGTTCACTCTCAACTTCGTTAGCTTCCTTACCATCGCATTGAGGCTGATTTGATCAAATCCAATTGCTGGCAGCAGCCAGAATTCGGAGTGCGGTATCGTTCGCCCCTTCGCAAGGCGTGAAGCTGTGGTCATCGCAGGGACGTTGCAAGAGCTCATGCGGCAACATGAAGCCTGGTCCCTGGTCCGAGAGCAGGCTCAGCATCCAACGAGAGTCGCGCTTTGACCGCAGTTCTTCCAAAGAGCCTCAGCTCAGCCTCAGCTCAGCCTCAGCTCAGGCATACCAGGCGCTGATGCAGAAGGCCCTGCACTCTGCTCCAGAATTAGTGACACGGCTGAGGGTCCTGCTAGGTTGCCAGCCTTGCAAAGCAGACTGGTGTGGGCCCCACACAGGAGACACGAGAGGGGAACGAGTCAAGGGCGGAGACTGCACAATGCACCAGGACGTCTCAGGGCTCGTTCTTGCAGTCCGATCTCAAATAGAGGCCGCCTTGCCGAACTTGGAGGCCGCTTTTGTAGCCCCAAGAAAGCCTGCTGCATTTGCGCTGCAATCCATTTTGCAGAAAGTCCTGGCACAGCACATTCCCAACTTCCAAGCTTTCAAGTATGTAAGGAACTCAGAGCTTGCTACATGGCGCACAGAGACACAGAGAGCGGGGAAACCTGCAGTGCTTAAGGTCCTTTACGACGCCTGGAACGACAACGACAGCGACGGCTGGCTCGATGGGGCAACGAGCGCTTCCTTGGACATGCAAAAGGCGGCCTGGCTGCGGCTCCCACTTCAATCGCGACGCTGCGCATGCTGCGCAGACCTGCGAAGACGCCATCGCGGTGGGGGCATCCTGCGGACCAGGCAAAAGGCAAAAGTTTAAGAGTCGAAGCGAGACACGGTCTGGCACGTATATGCGCCCTTAGCATCGGAGGCTTGGACAAGAGTCTGCCCATGAAACAAATGCAACGACCCCATCCAGAGTGTCGCGATGTAACATGCTGACGCGCACGCATGGCAGCATCGCTACATTCAGAATCCTCAGTGCATGCAGAAAGCAACTGGCGTGACGAGTCTGCGCACGTGACCGAGGCTCCAGAACACCACGGCCGTCCTCCGACACCTGGCCGGCGGGAATGCCGGGGGGCCTGAGATGTTCAGAGCAGGGAAATGCTGCTGCTGTAAGTTCTCCTCTTCTGAGGTGAGCGGTGCGGCTTCCCTTCTTCCCTTCGTCTACTCCGAGGTGCCGGCCTTGCATCGGAGCAGCTGCCAAAGCAGAGACGAGCAGAGTAATTTTATGCTGAGCTCAGGCTCAGTGCATGTAATGCTTGCACACGAACATACTCCTAGGAGCCTCTGTGATACTTTCCGGCATGACATTCTCCAGCTGTCTCCAGCTGCTCCCTTGCTGATCTGACCGAATCGGGCTGCTCGAGTGCTCGTCAGGTGGCAGCTGTGTCCTCTATGATGGGCCTGGGTTCGAGCCCGAGCCGAATCCCACAGAAGCTGGTGCCTGGACGCGGCAGTCGCGGCAAGGAGAAGGCGGGGCCCAGCAAAGCAGCGCAGCGGAGGCAAGGTTCCGTTTTGGGGGCCCGGCGCCTGGGGGAAATCCGCCACTGAGCCGAGCCAACCACTCTGTCCAGGCTCTGAAGGATGGGGCCGCCTACGGCGGGACTCTCCTGGCCAAGCACCCTTGACAAAGAAGAGTCAGCGGCTTTAGCCGCTTTTCTATGGGCCTTGTATTCACATTTCGAGGTTCACCTATAACGTGCCCTTGGCCCTGCTGGACACGCTTGCCTCTGCTTCCTCGTTGCTGGGTCAGGTATCTTCCTCAGTGCGAAAACATGTGGCTCAACATAAGCATTTGGAAGAGCCAAACCGGCATGAAACAAGACAACCATAGGCCATAGACCATAAATGCACAGGACGCAGACGAATCGTATTCTCCTCCATGCTTCGTCGGCTTGTAGTGCAAGGTTCGAGGCAACAGGCAGTCTGCGACGTAGGCCAGAATGAACGAGCGGTTCTAAGACAGGATAGGGGCTAACTCGAAGCAGAGGTATGACATGGGAGGTGGTCTTTGTGGGAATCGCGGGGTGGCAAACAAAAAGCGCTCGTACTGGACCTGGGCCGGGTCCGCAAAGACTTCAACGCCGCGAAGAGCTCGCAGAACAGCGGGCTGCGAACTTCGCAGTCTCTGTGCGCAAAGGCTGTGGTCTTTGTGACGGCCCTCTTCTACCTTCTTTCGGCCAAGGCTGGACGGGGGGCGCGCAGGGGCTGGATCCTGGGGACCCGTTGCTGAGAGGAGTCTTGCCTCGCTGTGGTGCGGGACCGAATCTTTTTTGCTGGGAGCCCGAGTAGCGGGCAGCGAGAAGATCCGAGGTCGGGGAGTTTCTGAGGGTCATCGACCAGAAGCAGGAGCAAGCACACTTTGACGGTACCGCGGAAGGGGGACAAGAGGATGTCTGACAGGTCATCTTCCGAATAAGCGAGCGAGTTATGCGCCCCGCCCAAAATGTCCCAACATGTCTTAGTGGAGCTTCCTTTCAGCGGCCTTCCTAGGCGAGCTGTGCTCGTGTCTGCGATGAAGATGTCAGCGCCCGGGACCAAGGCAACTTGTCAGACACAGAGATCACAGAGTCACAACGGTACCACTCGCAGAGACTGGCACCGCAGGTTTCATGCCCTCTTCACTTGGTTGCTGTATTCCTTCGGCCGTGCTCCGAGTGCCATGAGCTCCGCGGAGCCTGGGTGGAGCGGGCGGAGCCGTGTGAGGTGAGCTCCCAATCATCGTGGTCCCGACCGTCCTTTCTGCCGTCCTGGCCTTGGTGCCCAAGGCCGGAGCACAGACACTGAGACCTTTGGGCCGACGTTTGCTTCCCGGACAGGTTTCCCCGGTCTGGAGTGTTTCCATTTGGGCCACCGTGTATCTCTGGTGGCAGGGCGACAAGGCCACACTCTCTGAAATCAGATAGGCGGCTGAATGCTGAATCAACAGGCCGTATTCATCATGTTATCCTGCTGCTGGTTCCTGATCCATGACTCTACTCGTAACATCTGTTACCGCTTGGACCAGCTTTATCAGGTTCTTCAGCCGTGTCTACGTCACATGTGCCCTGTTCCTCGTGGCTCTGGACTCAACATCTCTAGTTCCTGTCCTGCTCGTTTCAGTTTCCGCGACTCTCGTAGCTTCACACGGGCTGCAGCGGGGCAGATCGCATTTGGAGACGGCACTTTCGCAAGTGCAAGCGAAGCATCCATTGCCCACCGGTTTGCCGAAACTGTCTTTCTGGTGGACAGACAGAAGTCTGCAACCCTCTTCGGCCACCGGTCGCAGGGTCGACACGCTGTGGGATGTAGACAGAACTCTTCTCCAATCAAGCCGCGCAGCCTGAGTTCTCGTCAATCTGCATGATGGAGATCATGACATTCCTTGCCGCCTTGGCACCAACTCACGAACCAGCGTAGAGAACTCTTTGCAGACAGTTTAATCTCGCAAAATACAGGAAAAGGGCCAAGCTTCCATGGCAAAGAGTGTCATGTCTGGGTTTTAGCTTTTGCTGTTGTCCACCACTCGGGAACTCAGGACATAGCTACAGGCTGTAACCTATAGGTTTTTTTTTCTCTCATTTCCCATGACGGCAACGGTCTTTGTGGAGAGCTCGCTCTGTACAACATTGTTGCAGGCTTGGGCCATTGTGTATGGTGCCCTGAACTTCGCCGTCTGGTTTCAGGCCATATGTCTAAGAGAGCGGAGAGAAGCCTGAATCTCGTGCTCGTGCCAGGTTCCCACCGTCATCTATGCCGAGATCCCTGAGGCCAGAGCCGGAGCCATCAAAGCCCGAAGTCGCCCAAGACGCAGCGCTTCGCAGTCCAACGCCTGGCTGACTGGCCTTGGCGTCGTGCTCGGGGTTGGCCAGCACAGGAGCTCAGTTGAAAGAGGAAGCCAGGGATCAACGCAACGTGTGAAGATGGGCGATTTTGAAGGTTCGGTTTGGCTGGGGTCGTGCTCGGGCCCTTACTTGCTTCGGCCGGGGCCTTTCTCGATCTTTCTTGACGTGCAGAGGAAGTCGCAAAACTCCGCGAGGTTCCGCTGATCTGCTTCAACCTTGTAAAGCTGCCTCTCGCTGAGAGCAGCACAGACCTCGTCTTGCGCCGCATTTCAAATAGATGAGGTTCAACACAGACAAGATGGAATGGCGGGCTGCAGAGGGGGACCTCCGCAATTTCGGAACACGAAGCAGGCTTCGACAACGGCCCTCCCTGATGGCCGATGCCGCATGGCAACTGAGCTTTCAAGACCTTCGTGACCAGGCGCGGTGAGGCCCACGGTGGCTTCGCTTTTTCTGTCTGGGCCACTGACACAAATCGACACAGGCGGGCACTGCACATTCGCAAGTTGTCGAGGTACAGCACCGCCCTTCGCTCCTCACGTCCTTCTGGCAGACTTGCAAAGTGATGCAAAGGGCTCCATATTAGTTCCTGATCTTCGATCTCGCCAGGCTCCACCAATCCTTCTTGCAGGACCAGCCTTCAAGCGACAGCGAGGCCATAGCAGAGCAGGGCGGTATCTGCACTTTAACCTCGGGCTGGAGAACCGTGATTTGCTTGACCCGCCACGGCTTTGTCACAGCTGAGCCAGAGCGACAGTACATAAGACCTATAGACCCAGACTTGCCAGATTGTCTGTATTTGCACCATAGGCGGCCACGTGCCAAGTTAGTTAACCCATTAATTACGAAGCAGATTCCTATGTTCTGCAGCGGATGCGCAGCCTTGGACCGCGCTTCCCAGCTTCGGCCTCCAGATGTGCGGAGCCAGCCTGCCCTGTGACGGCAGCAAACTAGGGACTCCGGAAGCAATTCTTTTTTGCTTCTGGGCGACGAACAAGAATGAACGGCAGCAGCAGACTTCGAGACTCCTCTGAGGCTCCTTCCACTTCCTGGCATGGCCGGTATGGCAACAAGCGCAGAAGACTCGAGAGAGACAGATCCGCACCGGTCAGACTCGCTCTTGCTGCTGGTGCCTTCCTATGTTAAGTCAAGCCAGTATCAAGGTAGAAATAGATTCCAGATACCTTGGCCTAACATCTTGTGCTGTTTCAGGTGCTGCCTGTCGGTGGAAACTCAAGCGAAGAGTGGAAGAAGTGACATCACGGTCTCTAGCCGTTACGCAAGAAGAGCGAGCAGGTCTATACTGCCAGGACACTGCCAGCGTGTCTTCCTAGGTCCTAGGTTTTGCTTGGAGTGGAGACTTTGATGGAAAGGGCGCTCTGAAGTTCTCCGACGCAGGAAGACCTGTCGAGCCTGCCAGGGTTCATGAACGCAACTTGGCTTCAATCTCGTGGAGCATTGCCCAACGGCTACAGTCGGATGCGAGGTCAGTGATGACATCGTCAAGGCGATTTGTGATTTCGCAGACCAGCACAGGAACCTCCTTTATATTTGAACGAATCCCGTACATATCCAGCAATTATGCTGAGTTTTCTGGAAAGCTCTGTTGGCAGGACTGATCAAGTGGTGACCTGGATCACTGGAAAGCGAGTTCAGGTGAGCTCAGTGTTTGTCTCTCCCTCACACGTTCTTTGTCTCTCCGTCTCTCGCTCTCTCTCTCTCTCTCTCTCTCTCTCTCTCTCTCTCTCTCTCCCTCTCTCTCTCTCGCGCTCCCTGTCTTATCTTGGATTTGCCAAGTTCTGTCGATTGGTTTGCTGTGCTATCCACGTTGAGTACAACAGAGACCGGCCCACGCAGACTTGCCCTTGCCTTGAGGTCTATTTGCTGGGTGTCAAGAGCGAGCCTTTCCGGGACTATGCGGGAAGTCCTCGGCCCGGTGCCGCTGGCGATCGCCCTCTCTTTCCCTCAGACTCTTCTCCCTCGACCTCGACGTGTCCCGTTGGTCCCGTTGTCTGCATGGCAGAGGCCACGAGCTCGCGGACCTGCTGTTGGGGTTCCTTGATGAGCTGAAGTCCAAGCTGCAAGCCGTTGCAGAGGCCCTACATGTAGCCGTTGTTGCCTTGATGAAGGTCAGCTCGGGTGGGGCCAGGCAAATGGTGGCGAACCGTCAGAAGACATTGCTGCGCTCGTCGGCGCCGAGGAAATGCAGGCAGTTTGTCTATCCCGCTGCCTACCCGGTCCTTAGTGCAGCCGGAAGATCGCAGGTGCCCCATACAGATCTTCTTCCGGGACAGGTGCAGGCCGGATAATCCACAAGTAGGCGAATAAGTTGAACTTGAGCTCGACTCGTGCACAAGGTTATCTTGGCACTCACCCGGACCACATCGACATTGGTGTATGATCCCTCACAGGACGAATGCCCACAATCACAAGCCTTACTGTCGAAAGTGGGCTCCTAGAAACGTGGGTGCTCCTTGTTTATTCTTCAGAGTCTCCGGTTGGAAGTCCTTTGCCCTCCACAGGACCGTCCGAGCCGTGCGGAGATCGCGTCGCAGATGGGCGTCAGCGCAAAACACTTGGAAGACGAGGGTCTCTTCGGTTTGGTGTACAAGAGCGGCCGGTTTGCAGAGAGGCTTCCTGCGCTGCTGAAGCCCCCCCCACTTCTCAAGAAAAAGACACTGCTGAGGCTTCCCTCTCGTTCTCCCAGTCAAGCACGTCTACGAGCACATGGTCGGGGCCTACAGTGGCAACTTCGCGGCGGGTGATGCCGTACAGATCAAAGATGGAATCGTGCATGCCGGTCCGGGCTGCAGCGATCAGCCGGGCAAGCCACGTGTTGTCGTCTTCATGACATACAGGCGCCCTTCACAGCTGGTCTATGTTGGGCAAATTTCGGCAAGGTAGAGCAACACGGTTCCAACACGATCAACGCCCAGAGTTGATGATCTTGATACTGGTTTGTACGCTTTACGCGATGGAGCCTATCCGCAGTAGACTAACCGGGGGATGCCACCAGGACCACCAGGGCAGAGCACTATGAGCTCACATTCCAAGCAAAGCTCTGGGATTGGGCTTCGCATCCAGCCATGACCTTGGGCTTGTCTTGGGCTGGCAGTTAGAACTGTGCTCTGTTGCTACACTTTTTCATGTCGAGTCATCTGTAGGCAGTTCCTCCCATGGTCGCCTACAAGCGGCTCCGCGAAGTTTTCACCTACGGCCAGGAGAAGGGCCACCCGGCGGCAGTGTCCAAAGAGACTTCGGCCGGCCGTTGCCCAGCCTAGGCATGGACATCAAACCTTGGACCTTCTATCCGCCAGAAAGCTCCGAGGCTTTGAAAGCCTGAACCAAGCACAGCACAGTATCGCCCGCCTTGGCCTTGTTGTTTTGAAGTGTACAGGCCTGTCAGATGCTGTGTACCACTGGCGGGTTGGACGAGTCCATGGTTGAGGCTTAGTTGCACCGTGCAGGGCGCCTTGTTCTGGTGATTCAGTGATGTGCTGCGCCGTGCTCCCTTGGCGATGAGGACCTCCTTGTGTCCGAGTGGCGCGACATGCTCTATGACGAGAATGTCCGGGCCGAAGGAACGGAGAGAAGGGAAGGGCAGTGCAGGAGCTTGCCTTGGTGGAACGGTAGAAGCTGAACCGCTTAGCCTCTGGGCTCAGGTCCAAATCGTTGATCGCGAGCAGGAGAAGGCTGAAGCTTGCCTTGGCTCTTGACGGAGACTGCGAGCTCCCCAAAACTTCTGGCATTCCTTGCTGAGGAGCTGCTCTACGACTAGTGACTAGACGGCTCCAGCGAAGCTAGCTCCTGGGTTGTACTCGTAGGCCTTGATAGGTTGTCGTGGCTTAGGAAGTCTGTTGTCGCTTGATGCCGATTTCGGACTCGACCTCCAAGGAGAGGCTTCAAAGACTCGCAGACTCCAATCTCGCTTTCAGAGAAGAGACAAAAAGACACGGCGATTGCTTTCCGTGCCGGAGTCCCTGCCAGAAGGATCGTTTCCGCATCTCTCGAGATTCGAGACATCTAGAGTCTGGAGACATCTAGAGACCATTAATGCCGTCTTAAGCGGGTGCAGATCAGTTCAACCTGTGGGGCTCTGTGCCTGCCCAGAGCATCCCAGAGCCACCTGAGAGGAGTTTGCAGATCTTGCAGACCTTGCCAGGATGGCCCGAACTCACCCACTAGCACGTCGGCCTGGGCCACAGCATCGAGACCAAGGGACCAGGGCAGATCGCTGCAAGACACTGACATGTGCGTGGTTTCAAGCTGCTCCGTGCGTAGCGCGCCTGTGCTCAGGCGTTTGATGTGGCTGAGCTGACAGAGACACAGGTCAGCCATCCCTTGTCCTCATCATGATGCAGTGAGTCAATGAACATGGATCGAGTTCTCAAGAAATTCTTCGTGATGCGTGCGTGCATGACCATGGTGTTTGCCTTGTGAGAGGCGGACGAAGACGAGCAGAGGCATGGACCTGCTGGGGAGGTTTTTGCAGTCATTGAGTTTCCTGAAGAGCAATGCTGCACTGCTACAGCGGCTCAAAGACCTGTGGCCAGAGGCTCCACGCAGCCACGCATGCCCATTGCATCTCCCGCCACGGCCGGGGTGCCGCGGGCGACACGCAGCCATGGCTCTCATAGCTTTGAGAAAGCGGCAGAAGGCGTCTAGGCGAAAACAGCGGCCTCTGCTCGGAGCCTCGCGACTCGCCCGAGTCGCGACTGAGGTGTCCTGGAGGACCTCCGCCAGCACAAGCCGCTCGACCGGTCCTTGCAACAAAACTACGGCCCGGAAGGCCACCGACACAACTTCGGCTCCTGTCGTGTTCGCCGCGCCGCGCCGCGTCCCTGCGCAGGTCCTGGGCCGAAGGCGACGGCGTTCCTCCTCCGGGAGCTGGCGCGAGCTCGGGGCCCCCGGCGCCTGGCAGAGGAGGCCTGGGCCCCTCTGGGCCCCTCTCACCTTCACTCCCAGCCGTGGCATCTGACGGATCCGAAGGTCTTCACTCACTTGCTTCGCAGTGGATACGAAGTCAATGTCTTCCATTTCAACACCTTGCTGGCAACTGATGCTCTTCTGCCGCAGTTTCACACTTTCCTTGGGCGGTTCGGTATCATCCTCAGCCTACATCCCAGCCCATGTCGTTTCCAGGCTGCGGCCGGCGCATGGCTGCGATGCTTGGCTTTGCTTACGCAAATGGTTTCGTCCAGGATTTCTCCTGATATCTACACGCCACTTGGCTGCAGCGTCTATTCGCCAGTCCTGCAGTGCTTGCAGCTCGAGCTAGAAGATGGAGGTATGGCACCCTTGTCAACGGGTGTGAGAAGGGCAGTGCCTGGACCACGGCCTTGCACATTCTGCACGACATGGAGACGAGCTGGACTCGCGCTTCGGCTAAAGACCAGCGGTTGGCTTCCGACTTCCGAGCCTCTCTCTCGTTGACCCGGACATACCCGGAGGCCCAGACACGATCACACTGAACTCCGTCATCAGCGCCTGTGAAAAGTCCGGCGAGTGGGAAAAGGCTCTCAGTGTCATGCAAAGCATGATCACCATGGAGGCGTGAGGGGCGAGTCCGAATCCGAAGCTCGGAAGCGAGAGCCACGTCGTCACTTCCGGAGGTGGAGCTGGACACCGTCTCTTGCAGCGCTCTGATCAGTGCTTGCGAGAAGGCATCGCAGTGGAGTTGGGCGCTGAACACCCTTGGTCGGATGCGGGAGCTTTCAATAGAGAGTCCCCGGGCAGAGAAAATTCGGACTCCTCTTTCCCAGTCCAAGTCCTACTCTAAACTCGGATCCAAGGCAATGCCATCACGCACAGTGCCGTGATCAGCGCCTGTGAGGCAGATGACGTCTGGCCTAACGCAGTTCTGCTATTCGACCCTTGGCCCGCAGCGAGCCAACCGAACCCATACCAGACTGGTCCTGAGTTGGAAGCACTTGGGCCCCAAGCTCCCACGGCCTTCGTCACCCGTGCATGGGCCAAGTCTGGACTTGAGGACGAGTTGCAACAAGCTGCAGCGGAGCTGGATGCTTTCAGCTGGACGGCATTACTCTGTGCCTTCGAAAAGGGTCAGCGATGGCAGGAGTCGCTACAAGTGCTGCAGGACAGTGCTTTTCCGTGACATGTGTGTCAGCATGCCGGATGCTAGGCTCGATCTTTGTTCGTCTGAGGACATGCCTTCTCAGGATGTCCAGCCAACGGTGTGGCAAGCTCAGACTTAGACGCAAAGTCATTGCAATGTCTTGCTTCGCTTGCATGGCCAATGTCTCGAGGATTACCTATAACTCGGCTCTTGTGGCTTGCGCCTGGGGCCGACAGTGGCAAAGAGCCCTGGAACTTCTGGCCGAGATGCAGCAATCTCACACGGCTTCTCGCCCACATGGCACCCGTGCGGTCTTGTTGCTCTCCGGAAGCGATGCCAAGGAGCTTGATGCGATCTCCTATTACAAGGCTAGTGATGCATGCTCAGCTGGAAGCGAGTGGGAAGCTCGCCTGCAGCTGCGAGCGAGTATAGGTGCAAAATGGTTGTAGCCGAACAAGCTGCTATTACTCGTACTTTAGATCAGCTTACTACCACCCTGGCAGGAGCGAGCGCTCCAGCTGCTTAGAGATATGGTGGAAAGCCAGATCGATGGACTTAAGGAGCCTCTGCGACAGGCTGCCCCGAACATGTCCGGCTGAGACATGACAGGAGCAGGACAAGCAATGCTATGATCACCAGGTGCAAGCGGGGAGCGCTATCGATGCTCTGCACGAATTACGGGTTCTTGTCAGCGATGGCTCTGAGACACAGATGGCCCCAATCGCTGTGTATCGCGGTCTCAAGGACTGCTTCAAGCATCTGGTCCTGGCGAGCCTGCTGGAGCGCATGGCCCAGCTGCCGGAGGGCTTCACTTATGTGGACACGCACTCGGGCTGGGGGCTCTACGACCTCACTGCACCCCAAGCTGCGGTGCACCAAAACCACCTTTATGGCATTATGGCGTTGCCGGGCTCAAGCTTCTTGCGACGGCTGCCCCGTGCCGCGAGTGCACATGCATGCTCATCCGAGGTTGGCTGAGAACGGCCGCGATTCCAAGGAACGCACGATTCAGCCTCTTGGTCCTCTGATAGCCTTCCGGCTGTTCTGACTGTCAAAGGATCCGATTCGAAACTGCCAGCTCAGGCACTTCCTCTCTGCCCTGCGCGACATAAACCCGGACACTTGGCCGGGAAAGCCGGCGATGGAACGGTGCCTGGGTTCTCCGGCCCTGGCACTGCATTGGTTGAGGCGAATGTCTCAGTGGACGGAGTTGGCTCGATGTGCTTCTCATTACACAGACAGTGCTAAATCTGCCTCTGTTGAGGGTTCGTAGCAATTCTTGCCCAGTTCTCCTCCCAAATAATCACGGAATGATGGTTTCAACGTGGGTAAACCCAAGTTATACTGCAAGAGCAGTTGGAGCACTCTGCTGTCTGCGAATTTGATAGACTCGCTTTTGTGCATTGGCTCATGCTAGCTTGTGCGTTGTGGTAATGCCGCAGGTGAGAGAGGTATTGTGAAGACACAAACCAGTCCTGGTGGAAGGGGAACGGGCCTGGCAATCCTTGCAAATCGTCACGAAAACGTTGTTCTTTCGAGTTGCCTGCGTTTGATTGTGGACCCGGTCTCTTCTGGGTGGCATGAGGCCACAGGACAAAGCCATCTTCTTCGAGGTTTCTGCTCGGGTGTCCGCAGCTTAGTTGCCCAGAAAGCCAAACGCAGACGACTAGACTCCAACTGATTCGAGGCACGCGGTGCTGCAGCGCAACTTGCAAGAATTGAACCAGTCTCTTGGCGACTGGAGTTACGGGGTCCAAAAGCCAGAGTCGCCTTGGGTCCCCACACCGCTGCAAAGCAGAGGCGACGCGGTTCCCACATGGAAGTGCTGCATCAGAATTCATACATCTTGATGCTTGGCATCTTAAACGAAGACCTGTTCTTGATGTCATGACCGCCGTAGGATTTGTTGTGGGGCGATGGCCAAGGACTGTTGACGCCATCTCCAAAAAGTTTCACGGACGAGGCTGGTCAGCGCGCGGAAGTTTTGGAGCAGCCCGCGGATGTTCGCTCGCCCTCAGCCAGGACTGGTCTTGATCGACTCTCCTTACGAACCCTACACCGAATACCTGACATGGAACCTGTCCGTCTCTGAGTCGAGCGTTTGTTGGGGTCTGCTGAAGGGTTTGGGATTCCTTGTGTCCATTCGGATGCTTGTTTCTGTCCAGGAATCGCCTTCAGCTCAGGGATGGGAACGGGCAACACCTCTACCCTAAAAGAAGAAAGCAGAGCCCTCACATGTTTCCGGGCTGTCAGATGTCGGTCCGGGTTGTCGGTCCGCTCGGAGCGGTTGCCATATCCTTGATGCCCCGAAAGAAAGAAGAGCACACAGCATCGCAAGGACATGCGTGTAGCCGAGGTCATTGCTGCGCCTGATCCGTCGCTCCTGGCCTTCAAGCTGCGTCGCTTTGTGGTATCCGGCTTTCAATCCTGAGCAACCTGCCATCAATGCTGCCCACATGCCTGCCCACATTGTGGGGCGGCCCCACATGTCCTGAGGCAGACGACCAGCCTCTACCATCGTCGCTTGGCCGCGATCGGCTCCGGCATGTGGACACCCAGTCTCCTCCTTGCAGCTTCCTTGTTCGATTCGGGTTGTCATGTCCCTCCGTTTGATTCAGCATGTGACAGGCCTCCCAGCAGCACAGCCGAAGAGCGATTACTTTGGGACTGTTCTTGGAAAGATAACTTGACTGGACACTCCACAGCTGAGCACTAAATTGCAGCCGGTTGAAACTTTGCAGCTCGTGGCTGCGACGAGCTTTCTAAGGGGCGCGCGATCTACAGGCCAGGTGGCTTGACCCAGCGTGGGCTCACGAAAACAGGTAAATAGCATCATGTGGCGGGAGGTCGGCAATGTGCTTGTGGCAGAAATGAACATCACACTGGAAGGCACGGAGAGCTTTAAGAGCAAGTGATCTAAACGGTTTTGGTGCACGGCTCAGACAGTTAGCGCTCCTGCCCCAGGCAGCGAAGCATTGGCAAGCTCAGGCTGCAAACATCCACGAAGCGCATGTTAGTGTCGTGTTTTTGTGACGTGCTGACCTTGTTGACCGACCCGAACTATATGCAAAGTGTGGCGGCGCTACGACAGTGTGAAAGCCTTGCAAGGCGTGTTGCTCGTAAACGTCCCTTCACGGATTGACCTCGAGCTCGAACACAGCTTGTCTGAGCTTGGGCAACTTGGTGAACATCATCGGTAATCGAAGCATGTATAGATGCCCGACCTTGCGATGCATGCATGTGGCTTGAGTCTGAGTGCAGGTGTAGGGACCCAGCGCCGATGAGACTTCGTGCTCGGCGTGCCTCGTCTGCCGAGGCAATTGCTGAGCCGGAAGACGGGCACGTCCGTCACAAGTGCGGTCTTCTGGCTGTGAGCACTTAGCGTCTTAGCCGCTCTTAGCCTTTGGAAGCAGAGCCGCCTGCTCCACGTTGCAGGCAGTGTGGCGTCGGCGACAAAAGAACAGACTTGACTCGAACAGACACTTGCTGAGCCAGGATCTCTAATAGTCGCTTCTACACTTCTAGACCAGGCAGAGTCAGAGCGACCGAGCTCAAGCTTCACGCACGCTGGTGAAGGCCTGTGCTTGCAAGATCGATATGAATCTGCACATCGCCTTTCTATGCTGACTTAGTGGCTGTTGCATTTGCTCGCTGGAGCTCGTCCGACATCCAATTTCTGGTCTCAGAGTCTCGGACGCTCGACTTGTCCAGGAGGGGTTTTCAAAAACCATAAAAACAAGTCGGTGCGACCCTTCCTGCCACCCCACCCGGCCCCACCCCGGTCGCCCGAGCCAGCCGGGCCGGGCTCTTGTTGCTGAGAAACGGTTTCGATATTCCTTCCGGGTCGAGGACATCTCTGAATCTGAGATGAAAGTCTCTAGTCTACTCCTTTATGGATATACGCTTTTTTATGTGGCCTGTAGCAGCATTGCCGCGGTTTGCACAGAATGTCGCGTTGAATCTCTCCTGCTGCAGGACTCTCCCAAGTCGTCCGCCTCCGCGCAAGTCGTGGCCTCACTTTTTGGGTTCTTGGTAGCAGGCTGAGGTTCGATTGGGCGGGACTGTCCCTGGACAGGGTGTGCTGTCCCAGTCCTCGTCTCCTGAACAGGCACGGATTCGATTCCCGACTGGTCTCCTTTCGTTTTCTTTTTGGGGGGGGGGGGGATCTCGCAGTCGCAGCCTTGCAGGCATCAAGCAACGCCCGGGGCTCGGCCAGCGTGGGAGGGCCCCGTGGCAGCAAGGCAACGACTGCAAGTCACTGCTTTGCGGCCTCTCAGGCTACGCCTTTCCTGAGAAACAGAAGGCTCTGCTCCAATCTCCGACACGTGTCTTTCGGTTGATCCTTTGGATTCTGAGCCAAGAGCATCCGCTTCCTCGATGGTCAGCTGCCGTTTTCAGCTCTCGAAAAGAACTCCGCCCCTGCGAACTCCGAGCCCGGCAGAGACTGTCAGAGCCTGGCGGACAAGGGCAGCTTCCTCGTCGATGGTCTTTCCGGCCTGTTTGAGTTGTTGGACAGGGCTTGCGATGTGAGATGAAAGGCACCGAAAAAGAGGCCGGCGGCTAGTACTCAGGCAGGTTCTGCCTTAGTGTTTCAGCGCAGAACACGAGAGTGAAGCGAGAAGGCTTCCATTACGATTTCTGGCGGTACCTTCCTGAAGAAGCATGGAATCCAGGAGCCGAGGGCCGCTTCCCACACACCTGGACCTAGACTTGTCGAGACTTTGCCTTCGGAACCTGGGCCCTAATTATACGACTCTGCAGGAGGCTTTGCAGACCATCCTCAGCGAGCTGGAGGACTCCAAACCCTCCGACCCCTGGACCAGCCTGAAGGTCCAGTTCTTAACTCTGAAACGGAGCCTGGACCACGTTCTGTTTGATGCCGTCTCTGCCTGCGTTGCGCGAGGCTGCTTTGGAGGAGAAATCCTCGAAGAAGGCCAAGATGGATGAGGAGGCAGACACAAGCAGCCCGTGTTGCAGCTCGTGAATCTGCATGCCAACAGTGGCTATTCTGAATGGAAAAGCCGGCCAAGCGACAAGATGCGCGAAGAACAGGTCTGCTGGACCGCCTTTCCGTCGAGCTGCGCTCAGCTTTCCCTTAGCATCTGGACGTGTGTTGAAAGCAAACGGCGCCAACAAGCGCCGACAAAACGTTTGCATCTTACGGGGCTTTGCACTTTGCCTCCTGGCAGAGGCAGAAGGTGATTCAGTGATTCCTCCAGATTCCCCAAACAGTGTGGACGCACTTCGGGGTTCATACGTTCTGCAAAGAGAGTTGGTTAGTGTAGGCATGCTGCGCTTGTTCCCACAGGCTCTCCTTGCGTGGCTCCCGCGTGGTGCTGTGCGACATAGCCTAGAGGCGTAATAGGTGTGTAGGTTAGGACAGACCAAAGACCGAACAACCGAACATTTGGCTCAAGGAAAACAAGCGTGATATTGCGTGATTGCATTGCTTGTTACACTTCCTTTTGGAACACTTGTTTTTTTGTTCTTCTGGTAAACAGCCTCAGCTCATTCGTCGCTGTTCATACTTGCCTGTGGCCAGGTGAGTCTGGAGTCTAGAGCCTCTTCCTGAGCCACCGCACTTGGGTGTAGAGTTTGGAATCGCGTTGCGTAAGTCCGGCAAGTGATCTGCCTTGAATAGAGCCAAGCCACCAGGTAGAGCTTTCCAATAACGTACATCAAACATTGGATCCAAATCATCAATCGGCTGCAGCGAGCTTTGAGGACCTGGGTGTAGCTTCAAGTTTGGTTGCGCGTGCTCGATACAGAGGCATATCCTACGATCACTGAATCGCTTCACGACTGGGTTATCAACTTGTCTTACAGCACCAGGATTTGGGTCTGGAGACATTCATTCCCACCTATCTTCGCAATCGCGGAAGGTGGAATGGGACAAGAACACGTTGGAGAAGGTTTGTTCGCAGGTCCACTGACTCGTGGTATCGCGTAGTAAATTTCGCCAATGGCCAATGAGTGTGTGTTAGGGGGTGTGCAGCGCCCATGATTGTACCTGGCTGTGCTTAGGGGCCATGCGGGCCATGCGAGTCAGAATTGCTGACGAGTGATGGGGCTATGCTGACTTGTGGTTGGATACACTCTGCCAACTCCTCATTGGTGAATCTAGAGTGCAAGGATGTGCAAGGGCCATATCAATCCTGGTTGATGGTGCATGGTCCGGAATCGCGCAGGGGCCACGGCTTTTCTGGTATCTTAAGTACGACAACGACTCATGACGACCACGACGATGCGACGATTTGTTTTCGGACTATGATTATTAGTAATAAGTAATGGCATTGGACTACTGCAAATCCAACACATTGCCAGCAGCCAGCATTGATTTTCAGTTTTTCGGCTGATTTTCGGGATCCAAAGGTTTTTCTTGTGAGGTGAGATCGTCGAGTCCTTGTTTTAAGCTCGTGCTGACTACGCAACCTGTCCAAATTCTGGCCAATTCCGGCTCACGATGCTGGCCTGTCAAAGCTCAATAATCTGGCAGGCAGGCAGCTTGAAGTGTTGATGCCCAGCACAGACCTTAAGAGCATGCTGCTTTCAAAACAATCGTAGAAAACCATGCCATGCAGCACTCTGTTCTTGAAGCCACGACACAGACACATGCATGGTCGAGCCTCCTGTTTTTCTCCTGTGGGTCACCACAGGCATGTTGGCCGCAGGCGTGGCGAGATCGGTACGTCAGTGAAAAATGCTGTAGATGCTGCGATCTGCCAGAGTAAATGGGACGACATAATCCTTGCCGATGTGGAGGCACCGAGTGATTTCCATTTGCCCAGGGCAGAAGAAGCAGCTGCAAGACTTTTGGGGCTGTGTTTGAGAACACGACATACTTGAGCATGATGGTGAGCGGCGGTATATGACAAACTGGTTCGGTGGGACCAAAGAACACATGTTTTTCTTCCAGTGTTTGCAATACGTTCGTTTGCGAGAGCCGGTCGATGTGGTGCACTCCAGGATTGGGGTTTTGCCGCCGAAGCATTTTTTCTTCGACCGGACACCTGAGTGCCGTGAGCTGGTATTCGATGCAGAAGTATTGAATTTGATTGCGGGTGGTTTCTCCGTGCGGACTTTGTTGCAAAGATGGCAGCGTAATGCAGCGAACAGGCGTTTCCAACAGATGGGATGATGATGTGATTTCCTTTCTGCAGTTACCACATCCGATTTCATGTCTTTGTACATCGGGAGCATGTTCAGTTATTGGTCTGGATGCCACAGCGCGTTGTTCAAGCAGCTGTTCCACTCATTTTGGAGAAGTGTTGCACGAGCTGATCGTTTGCTGGCAGCCTGCCTCCACGCTTAATGCAGCTGCTATCCTATCTGCTGCGAGAGACGTCTGCAAGAGCAGATGCTGCAATTGACGCGCGTTCTTTTGCATCTGGTGTCTTCGTTCACGGAAAAGTCATAGGTGTAAGGAATTTGACAAGGATGTTCCCAAAATCGATTGCGGTACTTATTAGGTTTTTTGCACAGCTAATGGTTTCGCATAATTTCACAACCGCAATGCTTCAAGAAGGTGTCATGGCACCGTTGCACAGGGATTCGCGCAATGCTCCGGGCTCTAAGAGCTTACTCGTGAGTTTGATCCCGTGAGCAGCTGCGATCCTATGGCTTGAGGATCAGTCCGGAGATTCCCCATGCCCCGTGCCAGCAGTGAACATGCAAGGATTTCTTTCGAAGAGTCTTGCAATGTTTGACCCCAGACGTTGGCATTACTCCGCTGCCACCAATAATCCTAGTCAAAGAAACAGAGTATAGTTGCCTTCATTATCAGAGATGCACAGAACATGGGTCCTGATGACCGGCGCACGTTACGCGAACTAGGATTTAAGCTAGCGTAGCCGTAGACAAATGTAGATGCACATACACGATTTGTGCAGGCCGAAGGTTTGGACATGAACTAAAGCAGCGCGTGCCCAGGACATGTTCCCTACCGAAGCTTGAAGAACCGAACATTGGGAAAAAGCGTGATTGCATTGATTGCTTTGCTACACTTCCTTGTAAAAACATCTGTAGCGTTTACACAGGATCCTTCATTGTAAATTCCAAAACATGCACGGCCACTTGTTGGCAGCGAAACCTTGGCCAGGATTTGGGTGCAGTTTGGGCAATGCCCTGCTAGTGATGGTGTCCCGGATGTATGAGTGGAGGGGGGGGCGTGAAGCTTGCTCTGAAAACCCTGCGCAGTAGGGTCCTGGCCCCTGGATGTTAACGCAGAATGTTACTGTCGACGAGGCCAGGAGATTTGGTTTGGCGAGAGGCAGGTAGCAGCCGCTTCGCGTGCGCACCTAGACCGAAACGTGGTTGCAAGTTCGGTCGAGCTTCTGCTGACCAGGCAGCCAAAGCAAGGTCAGAAGTTGCAGCCAAAGGCCTAGATACAGTGAGACGGGCGTGTGTACTGCGAAACATACGATTCGATTACAAGCGGTATGCATCAGAGACATGTGCCACTCGAATATGGGGCATGGAGATCGTCCAGTGAGTTCATTCGTTTGTGCTTTTTCGGCAGTCTTGAAGTGCAGTCAAGAGTATTGCACTTATTGCACGCTACAGTCATTGCATCGCGGGGTGAGGACATTCAGTGGCTCTGTTGTGATTCTCTGCTCGGGCAGGCCCTGGCGCCGGCGCGGCGGCGATCGTTTGCAACGGCCAGGAAGCTGATTGTTGCTATTCCAGGCCTTGTCATATGTCAACTGGGGCTTGACAGGACCGAACATTCCCTGTGGATCCCAAAGACACAGCCGGGGCCCTTGGGGCGGCGGGAGGCCGAACACTTTGGGAGGTCGGAAATCTCTATAGACAAGTTGAAGGACTTGTGGAGAACGCCAGAACTCGCTCTGAGGCTGTAGTCCGACTTGAAAATAGAATTCCCCCTCCCTAATAATTTTATCGCTAATGCGAGGCCGCC